CTTATAAATGTATAATTAGGTATGTATTATCTATCCCATTGTATCTCCTTTAATTTTATATGTATGTATATAATTTCGAATTTAGCATACAAATTACGATCTTAATTTTAGTTAGTTTAAATTATTTAGTGAACAAATAATGTTTTGAATTATAAGTTTAAACAATTACCTAATTTGTTTAGGTATCATTTTTATCAATGTATTTAACTCGATTTTTGTAGGCAGATACCTACTGTTTGTGTGCAATGTGGAGGACGCTAAATATGTACCTACCAATATTATTAAAATTGACCAGTTTTTGTACTGATGCATCCTTTTTATTTATAAATTAATAAAACTGTAATGAAGACAATTTTTAAACTATATCATTATTATATAGAGAATATACTAGGTATATTTTAATACACGAGTTACGAGTATGATATCTAAAGAAATTTATTTTAAGAGTTATATACTGATGCCAAGAGCTGAGTAAAAGATGGTCTTTCGTTTTTGACAAGAATCCAATTTTTCAGTAATAAAACTTTGGTTTTTGATGGTAAATATTTTTTCTTTGAAGATAATATCTCTGTACCTATAGATTTTGTATGGACTTAATTTAGAATCCAAAATTCTCTATAATCTAGAGTAAATTGTATTGGATAAGGAGCTATCCCGCGTTCAACTCACTATAACATCGACCTTATTTAAAAAATAACTAGCTTTTAAAGAATTCAGAAGAAAATTCTTAGTGATTAGTTCTTATTTATTCTTCATAACATTTTGATAGAGAATATGAAAGGTGTAATTTTATCAGAAATTACTTTTTTTATGGAGTAAGAAACATTTTATATGATTAAGATCATAACGCGATGAGTCACTCAAAAAAATCAATCAGGTACTTACATTAAAATAAACAAAGTTACATAATATTGATAAAATTGGTAAAAATGTATTTAATAATCATTATAATATTATAAACATTGACCGTATAATTATTATTTATTATAATTTGTAGTCCATTGTGGTCACAATATCATAGTATCATACAATCGTACTTCCTTGTTTTTGTAATGTGAAAATAATTTAGACATATTGTTTAGAAGAATACCAAATTGTGATTTGGAGACTAATAACAAATTTAATTTTTTTTCTTACCTTTAATGTTTAAAAAGATCTATTGCATTACTTATTTGCGTTTGTTTCTATAATTTATTCATCAATAATTTGATAGGTACATCTTAATTAAATATTAATAATATAGTAATTCATAGAATTTACTCTGTGTGCATTATTAGTCGATCAATAAATCGCAAACTATACAATTACTAAGAATATGAACATTTGAGGTAAATACTAAATTACAAAAACATGACCAACTGGTTTCAATGTTCACATTTGGATGTGATGTCAATAATGCGGCACGTCGAGGTCAAGTACCTAGTGCATCATTCCATTTCACAAACTGCGTCACCGTTTAGTACGAATGTATGATACAGTATGATACATGACTAGTGGCGTACACAGCTATTTTCAATGGGGGGGGGGGGGCTTACATATAAAAAATAATATACATATATATATATTATACATTGATAAATCAAAATAATATGTTGTTTAACTAATATTTATTTTCATTATAAAACAATGTCTATTTTCCTGGGTTTTTGTCCAAACTCATCAATGACTTCTTCAGGAGTTAAATTTATATCACGGTATACTGACAACATGGTCAATCCATTTAATCTGTCCTGTGTAATGTGTAAAGAATTATTTTTCAGTTTAAAATATAATGTTATAATATAATGGAGTATAATTTGGAATATCCTATATCTAATAATAATAATTATTAAATAATAACTTCGGTGACGACGGTCTTCTCGCCGAACATTTTTAATCGAAACTCGATTGTGACGGTAACACTGAAATTCCCTTAATTTAATTTAGTATTTATTTTTATTAGTACTATTAATTTTTTTTTTAAATTGTCATCATTTTTATTATAAATTTTTACCTAATTACGTAAACTGAAAAAATACTAAAGGGGGGGGGGGGTTGAACATGTACAATGTACATGACGTATTCAAAATGTACATCGAATGCGCCATAAAAAAAGGGTTCATATCATACTGTTGAAATGTTCGTATTTTCTTGCATATAATTATACTTATTCTATACTAACTACATGTAGATTTAGTACAATAAAATGGAAATGTTCTATTACTTCTATTGTTAACGCCACATTTATTTAACTATATATTTTATTATAGATGTACATGTAGAGGCTTGGAGATCATATTGCTTGGCGTGACAGGTTTAAAGCTAAACGAATGTGGTCTCTAAATAAAAAACATTATCACAAACAATATTGTGGTAATAATTGATAGAAGTGATTACAATAATAAAAATATCAAAACATTTAAAATAAGATATTAATTTATTATATTGTATATAATACATTTTATGAAAACTGAATTAAGTATAATTAAGTATTTAGTATATTAATTACGTAGGTATGTAAGTATTTCGAGTTGGGGCAGTATGTTGGATCTTCTTAACATCTACAGGTCTCTATGCATTCGATATACCTATTGGATATTATTATATTGGTTTTGGAATAAATTAAATCTTGAATTAAAATACTTTAGGAACGTTCCAAAATCAAAACCTATGGCGTACCAATGGACAATGGTATATCCACGCCTTTATGTATTTTATAATAAAATGTTAATATACCATCGTTTTAGTTTGAAAAAATTCATTCTATAAAGTACAAACGAACAAAATATGTTTGACCATTGCAAAATATATTTATTTTTATATCCATTTAAATCATGTAATTTAATGTAGGCATTTAAAATTTAACCATAGTATGTATTAATGATACTTCAGTTTTATTAAGATGGATTAAGTTTAATACAAGACATGCTGGTAGCATTTAATTTTTCTATAGATAATTGCAGTAAACCAAATTAAGTTTAAAAAAATTGTTCGTGTATTATGTATGTGTATGTGTATATTATATGTATAGTATTATTATAATATTTTTATTATTATTACATTAAATTAAGGCGTAGAAACTTTAAAATACCACGCAGTGTATTTTTAGCTTTAAAATAGTGTTTACTGTTCAAGTATAGAACTTTTCTTATTTAATAATTACAATTTGACATTCAAAACTAGTTTGTGTTCATTTAGATTATCTTTGGCCTCGACTTAAAGAATTTAGTTACTGACATTAAATTTGATGTTTAGTTCTTGGTGATTTTCCAAAAACTATATAAAATGTGTAACCAACTCAATAATCGTACAGAATTCACAAGTTTGAAATCTACATTATTTTAGATTATATCTTATTAGCTACTTATTAGTTATTATCTAGGTTTGTATATAGACTCTATCATAGTATTATACAAATCACAAATCGATGGAGATTAAACAATTATAAAGTTGTAAGGTACCTATGTCACATAATATACTCATTTACATTGTATAACGTACCATATACATTTTATCAAAAACTATTCTACCGTAATAGTAACTACATTTAGTTTTAATATTTATGAACCAACGCGTATGCAAACTGTGTACACGGTACCTATGACACAGTTTGCATTTATTATCGTTTCTTTTTGTTCGATTTTTAGATATGATAATCTAACAATAATTATAGAAAATATGTCTGTAATAGAATTTAATTTCAGTATGAAAAATGATAAATACCTAGGTAAATTGATGCAATAATTTAATATAATATTTAATTACAAAATTGTATAAAAAACTTTTTTTTAAATTACAAGGTCATGCATAAATTACCCATGAAAGCTATTAAATTTAAATTAATTCCCACGTAAATCTTTTGAGTTCATTCAGCAATGTCATATTTCATAAACATAACTATATTGATTTTTCGTTTTCTAGTCAATAGAAAATATCGATTTGTTTAAGAATTTTTAATTAAAAATGTTGTTCTAAATAAAAATGAATAATATGTTTGTGTGCAATTCTACAATGGATATATATTGGTTGGAACTTTGGGCAATTTCTGAACCTAAGTATTCAACAACTAGGTATTATATTTCAAACACTAGGTCCTTTCTTGTGTTAATAAATAGTACCAAGAGTTTAACGGTTAAACAATTGAAGGGCTTGATAACATTTGATACTTTTATGACTTGTTTTCTCAATAAACTAAGTATTGAGGTACCTATAGGGAAATGTAATGTATAATATCTTATTTATAAATATTTAGTAAAAAAATAGAATTTAAATTTTAATAATAATCTTCTTAACCGGATAAGAAATATTATCTACCTACATGGTTACATTATAAAATATCACACAAACATATTTTATATTTTATAGGTAACAACTAAGTAGGTATGCATAAACAATACTGTCAATACTCACTATAATACATGACTGATTATAACTATGAAAACATAATATATATATTCATTATGTGGATTCTCTGATAAATAACCCCCGAACACATAACCACCGAAAAAATACACAATTTTTAAAATGATGAACACCTACCTAACACATATTCACTATATTTAAATGCTAGTCTATCTATGATTTGAGAGCAAACTTAACTACTTATAAAAAACTTTGTTTTAATTTGTTAATACTTAATTAGCTATAGGAATAGAAACTGAACATCTTATAAATGTTTAACTACCTACAACAATTACATTTTTAAGTTTTTTGACCTAGCGAAAAATTATTTATCGACAATATTTGAAAATAAACTAAAAACAAAGCGAAAATTTCTCATACATTCAATAGCTCAGCACTCGAAATATTATTTTTTTTTAAATTTTATTTATATATAGGTTATTGGTTTTAATAAAAATGTATTATTACTTAAGAAATTGATTATTTGTTGGTTGTTAAATCATACATAAACTGGGAAAATAGTATTTAGTACATATATACCTTGAATGGATTACATTTTATTTTATTATATAGGATAATAAGTTACTGTTAATCAATAGCATCTTAATTCCATTTTTCAGGTTGTTCAGCGATGCCGTCGTCACCATTGCAAACGATGGTATAGCTCAATTTCTACAACGTTTTCGGGTGATGGAAATGAAGGAAAACAAATATCAAAACCTTCATATGACAAGTCAGGTAAAAATACCACTAAAGATTCTTAATTATAATGTGATATTAAGCATAGGTAGGTATGTCAAGGTTGGTCACCATATTTTGTATTTTTTCTCTGAATTGAACATAAAAAAAGGAAGAATACGATTACTTGACCTGTACCGGCCTATATTCATATATTATTTATGTATAATATTATATGGCGGACCATGCATCCAAGGCAGAATGTTTTTTTTTGTATATTTTTAAAGGAAAAAGATGACTTTTTCTCTATGGCCATTCACCAATTTTAACATCCTATTTTTCCGTAACCAAAATACCACAACCACACACAATTAAGACACAATAACCTATACTGTAGCCAGTATTCTACGTCTCTAGTCTACTAGTCTCTACAACATACGCGTATAAAGTAAAAACTAACTCAATGTTTCAAATTGACTAAAGTACTCTTTTAGTAACTTGACACATCATATCACATTTTGTTATACTATATTCAAACACACAAAAAAAACTCTAAAAAATTAAACTGTTCCCTAAGTTCTACTTCTGGGGAGGCGACTGCTCACCCTGGCATCCCCCTAATTATGGGCTTGGATAAACATATGACTAAAATTTAGTTTTGAATATATCTTGAATCATTTAATATATTATTATTATAAATAAATCTTTTTTTTCGAGACGATTAGCTGGTTGCTTATTAATTAAATAAATAGTTATTTTATAATGTTTCCGGCTTATTTATCGATTTTCGATTATATTATTCTTAATACTTGAATGATTGATAATAATAAAATGTACTTAGGTATAATGTTTTATTTTTTAGTTGATTAAGTAAGAATTTGCCTAAAATTTTAATTAAATAAAAAATGCCAAACATGAGAATTTTTTCAAAACTAATTTTTAATTGATTTGCTGTTAAATGCATTTATTTTATATTAATTTGTATATCGTTTGATAGTTCATTGTTATTTATTACTTTTTTAATATAGCTGTAAAATAAAACTTTAAATACCTACAGTTGACTAGTTGATCATTATTATATTAATCAGAATTTCTTAGAAGCCAATTTTAATTTGTGTTGATTGTATTAATACATAAGTAAGTAATTTTCGAATCTCGTCATAAGGTTAATTAATTTTTTTAATTTTTACTTTTAATTTTTACTTCAATTAATATCTTTAAATTGGCAGATAACTCATTTCTATGATATAATAAGTTTTTTAATATTTGACTAATTTTAGACTTTTCGAGTTATTAGAAAAGTCTTAAATCGTTTTGTCAAAATGTGAAGCGAATTTTTGATGAAGTACTTAGACTAATCCCAAAATTCAAACTATTTATTTAGTATTTTTTGAGCATTTTTTTACTTGAGAAAATGATAACAAAATATCTATACAACCAAAAATAAATAATATATTATTGTGAGTTTTATATACTATGTATGTACTTATTTATTTATTACATTTGCTTTGAATCTAAGATGTAGGTATTTAATGTCGAAATTATCCATGTGTAACTGATGGACATTCTATCCTTATATTTATTCTAAATTATTTTCTCTCTGTTCAACATAATAATATGTATAATGTATATGTTACTTTTTTTAAAAAGTTATTAGAAAAATTATTATTATTATTATTATTTTTATTTTTATTTATTATTTTATTATTTAAAAGTATTTTACTCTATAGTTGTATTAAATATAAGAACTATTATGTACTTACTTGAAAACTTAAATGATTAAACTTGAAAATTTGACAAATATAACCCTAACCTTAAGTTGAAATAAGTTGATGTTTACATTTATTAGTAGGTTCCGCGGTTATCTACTCAACTGGGTACGTATAAACTAAACATATATTTCAACGTAACGCATGTATACTTAGGTATTTAATGTTTAAACATAGAACCATAGTAAATATATCATAGGTAGAATACATGATGAAGTAAAATGTAATTATCTTATTTATTACTTATTATTATAAATTAAATTATTTAATTAAAAAGGATAACTAAAATTAAAAGATAAAATAATATTATATAGTAATAAATAAGATGTGTGTACTGTGTATACCTATAACCTATGATGTACGATTAGTAGCTAGGTACCTATGTAATAACAATGTTTGAGTGAAAAAAAATGAATGTTTGTCTGTCTGTATGTACAATCAGACTAGGTCACGCAACCATATATTTTGGGACATATTTATAATGTATATCTACTATAATCTATATATATTTGAATTGATGTCTGTCTGTCTGTTTGTATCTATGTCTCCTATACCTGCCTAAACGGCTGGACCGATTTTAATAAAATGGTTTGTGTTTGAGTGGTCCCCTGGATAATTTAGATTCACAATTGGACCCGGTAGATCCAACATAGAGGGTTGCTCAAACAGAAATTTTGATTTACGAATGACATTTTTGGTTTATAAATGGTTGCTATTGGTACAGGAACAGGAGAAATAAAATATATTTAGTTGAAATTAAATTAATTAGTATTTTTTTGTTTATTGGTTGCCATTGTTCGATCGTCATTAAGCATGCATCAAATCGAATTTTAGCACATTGCCTACCAAGGGGGCTGAGTTGCACTTATAACTGCTCATCGGCGTGTCAGAAATCAAAAAAAAAAAAGTAAAAAAAAAAAACATACAATTCATATATAGTAGGAACGCACCTACTGGGGACCGTAAATGGATTGTCTACCTGATAATATACTGCTCGTATTATCACAACTGAGTCTCATGTAGAGTTGGCATTTTTAAAATTGAACGAAGTACAGGAGGTTATCTAGCTTAATAATACATTAAAGTAGTTGTATATTATTATAGGCGTATTAACTTACTACGTACAGAACCTGAAATGCAAAGTAATAACAATTAATGCAATTGATGGTTTGTGTGTTTAAGTAATAAGGGTTAAATTTCCGACTAATAAGTAATAACCCTAATGAATTTAATTAATTAATTAAATGATTTCCGGAACATTGATATTGTGTAGGTGTATAACCTTAAGCATGCACATATTTTTTAGAAGTATTAATTTAGAATTGTTTTAACAATTTTGTTAAATGATAAATCAAAATTTTTATTTTCTAATCATTAAAAAATAATTAACTTTTATAATGTCGGTAAAAAAAATCGACTTGGTCTTTTATAATTGATCTTATTTAATATTTTTGATTCAAAAAAATTTAGTCAAAGTTTGAACTGTAAATTTCTATTAAAAAAATTGAGCCTACTTATATAGTTTATATATTTTTAATATTTCTGTAATATTTTTAGCTTTTTTACCTAGTTACCATTTTTTAATTGACATCGACAATTTCAGCTCAAAAAGAGTCAAAATATTGTGAAAAATGTTCCTTGTATGTAAAATGCAAGTATAGACTTTTGGTAAAAATGTCAAGTATCTATGGTTATCCGGTTAGTTTAGATTACATATAAATAAGAAAATCTGTGTAGCTAATAACCACTTTTCCATAAAAGTTCCCTTTTAAATACTTATTTTTAAGCTTTATCTAAACTTTAATTGCTAATATTAAAATAGAACAATGTACTATTAGCACAAAAGATATTTTTATTCAAACATTAAACTTGTTATTTATAGTCAAAATATTAAAATCATTCGTTTTTTAAAATTTTATTTCAAGATACATTTGTATAGATAAATAACACGTGAGTAAGTACCTATAACATTTAGTTGTATTTACAAGTATCAAAAATGTATCAACCAGCTATATAAATGTAAGATATTATTTTGATAAGCAAAAATAATAAAAAAATAATAACATAGGTATTTTAATTAATCTGTTTAACTAACTAATCGTGCCATATTAATTAATTATTTAAACAATTTTAGCAGATTTAATTAAGATGGAAAGATTTTTTTATATAAGGATATCTGCTCATTACTGTTAGCTATAATTAAGAAGTGTTGTCAATATTATATATTTTGTATTATATTCAAATATTTATAGTAACAATACAAAGATTTTTTTGGGAAAATCAATCATTAAAGTTTTAATTATTTTTGTCATCTAATATTTCAAATTCTTCAAATTCCATGTCAAATACTGGTATGGTACTCATTTTCTTTCTAATTACTACTAAAGCTTTCCATGACATATCGTCTGAAGAAGCGCTTGAAAGCTTTGAAAAATTGTCATCTGTTATTCGTGGACTTGGTGTACCTCGTTGTTCTTCATCTTCTTCTTCTTCTTCTTCTTGTATGGCTTCTACTTGTTTTTCACCTCGTTTGGGTTCTTCCATTAATTCAATTCTACTCCCACAACTATTACTTTTTACTAGTCTAAGCTTTACATTTTCTTCTTTTTGATGTCTTATTTCATCCATAATGGTCATTGTCATCGGACTACATACCACTCCTCTGGTGCTGGATATTACCTTACCACCATAGTAAGTAACACTCGTACCAAACTTTCTGATTTTGTTAAGTATTTCAGCTGATACCGGTCTTCCAACTATTTCTACGGTTGTTTTGTCTGTTAAGTAGTCTTCGTCGTCACTGCTGTATCCATCAGCTCGCTGATTTGTCTCAGATGATTCTGTGTCAAAGCTCGCTTCACTGCCAACTCCTGACGATATGCTTCCGCTATCCGTCCATCTATTATGTATACTTGTCCCCATGTCGACGGACACACATTTTTTAAGTTTTGACTTGTATGTTTCTGGAATAACTCGTATTTCTTGCGTTGGCCTTGGTCCTATTTTTGGATTTTGATTATTCATACTCGGAGGTAATGGTATTTTTAGTTCTTTTTGAAATAATTGTCTTGTACTTAGTACTTTATCTGGATCTGGTAGTTCGTTATCATTGAGTTTTTTATTTGGCTTAAGGGGGTGATAATAAAAATGTTTTTTTAATGTTTCTGCGTGTGATTTATTTTCTTTATGGATAAGAAAGTCCATTGATTTAGGTCTTTCAAGTTTTTTTGTTTCTCCAATGTCTGCGCATAAATCAGATTGAGATTTATACTTTATGTTTGTGTTGGATTT